TCACGGATAGGCTGATGAGAAGACCTCCACCCCAGAGAGCTGCCAAGTGGATAAGGTACGACTCCCTTCTGGAATCCTTCATGCAAGCCTACAATAACCAGGAGTACGAAGTCATTGATTATCTCTGCTGTTTTTGCTGCACTATGAATTCGACATTTGATTATTGATATTAACGGTTTTATGATATTGGTATTTAGTTATACTTTCGATTGTACTATATTTCAACCTTACTGCTAGGTTATTTGATCATTGTTGAACTGTGTTTCAACGATCAATGCTTAAATTATTAGAATCTTCAATTATGTTAGGCTTGAACTACTGTGAACACAATAGAGAATTAGATAGTCAGCCAGGTCTGTAATGATTCCATTTTATCTGCATCATCCGAAAGTATTTTGTACCTTTTATTTGTGATCTTCATTGACACAATATTTGTATATCCATATTCCATAACCCTGTAACGCAAACAGTTATAATATCAAAACCGAGTCTTAACTGTTAGGTTATTTAAAATAGCTGACATCGCTTTCGTAATTGGTGCATCGTGTGACCACCCAGACCACGGAGAGGAGATCTCTGTCATTCCTCTAGCAAAGCAGCCAGTTTAAATTGAGAAGAGTAGCCCCTGATGGGTGGTTACAGGTTATCAGGAAGAGAGAGAGAGCATGAACTGGACGAGTTTTGGTTTAAGATGGTGTAATTCAGATATTATAGGCTAGGGCATTGCATTCAACAATTTTGGGCCTGCACTTGCAGATGAATCTTCGTACAGCGACGGATTCGCTGCCAAGCTGTGTCTGCAGATCGAATGACTGCAAGGTTTCTAGAACATGGCCAGGAGACGAACTGCAATGTTGACAACCGTTTACTTAAAGATTTTAGAGTAAGCATTTCATGGGATGTTTCGACTGTAATCTTGAATATGACTGAAATGAATTATTGATAGAATGAAATGTGTTTGAATTCTTGTCTTGCTGTAACAAGGAACCCACTCAATTTGACCGAGATTATTCAATAAATCTAAAGAACTTTATCAATCTAACTATTAATTAATAGACATTTTGTAGAACTGATAATCGCATGTCATACTCATAGTAACCTTTGAGCAGTACTCTAATTATAGTCTAAAACAATTTATTGCGCTGGTCTGTGAATTGTACTGGTTGGTAAAATAGCCAAGAGCTTGCTGAAACCATGCAAACGCCCCCGTAGGTATAGTGGTTGTATGTGAAGACATGTACCACGAGATCAAGTTCAACAATAATCTCACGAAAAGAGAGATAAAACATACCAATACCATTATCAATGACACTGGCTGAATCAAATGATTCTTATTATATGGCCATTTGTATGTCAAACAATACGAAAAAATAAAAGTTTGGCAAGGAATAAGTTTTGGGCCAGCAAGTTGCAAGTGCGAATTGGTAATCAGAACTAATGGTACAAATAATCATACGATAATTGATATGGTATAGTCGGTTAAGTTGATCGACTACAGTATATATGATATAGTACATGACAGTAATTTTGTATCAAGACACTTTACATATTACTTCGAAGTATTCCAACAGCTACATTGTTACACACGTGCAACCAGCCAATTGCAGGAAGCCGAAGGATTTATTTTGGCCAGTGACTGTTAAACTTAAAGTATTGTGTACCATACTTACTTCGCCCGAGACTGCTGCAATGTGCAGCTCCTCATTTAACCCTCACACCCGATTTCCCGAGTATTCGGCTGAGTATACCGGGGGGCTGCATAGACCACTCAGGATCCTTAGCTGAACGTCAACGACGCTCACCCCACAACCAGGCAGACACTGGGATTCGAACTCGCAACCTCGCGGTTGCAAAGCTGGTGTTCTAACCAACTGCGCTACCTCGCCGTTGCGAGAAAGGAGCCTTCCCCTCATTTCCAAATATAGTCATTTGTGACGTCATAACCATAGTAACGCCATAACCATAGTAACGCCTAGCGATACATAATAGCGACGCGCATGTTATTTTGATATTCGTTTGTTTTATTTGCTGCGCGGTGTAAATATTTATTTTGACCAGTTATTTAGTCATAACTTTTTATAGGAACCTGCGCTAGGTTTCGCTTTTCTTGCGACATCCGATTTGGCGTTTTTCCTATCGGATGGTATATAATTTGGCCACAGCGCAAATATCGCACGATAATCTTATTCCTATGAACAGCTTGAGCCGGGTATTTGCCTTACAGTAATAGACTGTCAAAATTTAAAACGCGCATTGGTATAGCACGTGACTAATAAAGCCAAATTTATACTTCTTAACATATTATCGATCCTTAGACATCATACTATTGTGTCTAATTAGTGGTTAGGTCTCTAAACTCGTAGCAGAATACACGTATTTTTGCCCGTAAGAGCCTCTACTATAAAAGCTGAGACGGCGGGTTTATTAACAACCGGTGAAAATGTGGTTCTGGAAAAATATGGCGAAATTACCCTAAACCCGCCACTTTATCCCGGTCATAATAATTCCGAGTAAGGTATACTATAACTGAGATGTGATTCAAAGAGAACATTATATATTTTCAAATATAGTTCAGAAGGTATCGAGTGCCGAATTCTGCAGATTGCACCAGTCATAGATCGCAGTTTTTTACGGATGTAGTGCATGTGGGCAATCCAGTTTAGCTTACTATTTATAACAACACCTAAGAATTTGGTATCCTTGACTTTAGTAATAACCTTACCATTGATGAATATTGATCTAGATTCATCTAGCAGGATAGCAAATGGTATAGTCCGTGCACAGGTGTCATTATATTAAGAGGCAGGTTTAAAATGTATGTAGCAGCATTTGGACATGTTGATATGAAGTAGATTACATTTCATGTAAATCGAGACATGTTTAAGTACTAAGTTGGCTTTTTAATATGTTGCTTCTCTAGATGGTCCTGATATGAAGATATTAGTGTCATCAGCATAAAGTACAAATCTCACCTCACTGTCTGAAAAGCAGTTTACTATATCGTTCATATACAGTAGGAAGAGTAACGGTCCTAGAATTGACCCTTGTGGTACTCCAAATTTTACGTCCATTGTTTCTGATGGTACATCGTTATACATAACATACTGCTTTCTGTTAGTCAAATAGCTTTTAAGTAAGGTAAGTGCTGTGCCCCTAATACCATAGGAATTTAATTTGCATAAAAGAATATTGTGATCAAGGGTGTTGAAGGCTTTGCTCAAGTCAATGAATATCCCTAGGACATGTTTATTGCTTGCCAGAGACTTAGTAACGGAGTCTATAGATTTGTGTATAGCATGGGTGGTAGAATGGCCTTTTCTAAATCCAAACTATGAGTCTGTTAGTACACCTTTATACTATAAATTTGCTCTAACCAGAGCCCTCGCGCTTGCCATGCAGTGAAACAAGCGTCAATCACGTCAAGTAGAACGCTCAGGTAAACTTTCAACAGATGTATATGAGTATGAAATCATAAATTACCACAGTAATTTCCCTTCTTCCTACAATCTTGGTAAAGTCAGGTTTCACTGCTCATAAAACTAGTTTATCGTTGATGAAAGCAGTTAGCCTCCGCTAGGATCAAGATTACATAATTTTATCTCCAGTTGCAGTCTATTGTATACTAAGTTATCAAATATTGATATTTTGTATCATCTTGAATTGGGCTTTCTGTCCGGCAGCTCTGCAATAACAAGGGCAGTCCAATCATTTTACGGAAAGGTGAGATTCCCTGCTACGTGTTCCTCAACATACAGAGCTAATGTCTGTGACTTGAAGACAGTCAACCCAGGGGGACATATGTCGAGAGGAGAGCCGTGACACATATTACCTTATCTCCACCACTAAAAATCACAAACTTATATGCCATACCACTATCTAAGGACACATTAAGCAGCCTGCCGAAAGTAACATTGCCTCCCAATTCCAAGGATTAGTCAATGCTAATTTACAAAACTTGTTTACTGTAGATCGTGTCTCTGAGATGATAGCTGACCATAAAAAAAGAAGCCAAGAGCCAAGTCAAAAATCATATCAGAACACGATTCAGATTTGATCTGTTAAGAAGTACACTCATTGCACTAAGAGGAATCAGAGGAAGATCAACGGCCCAGCATCTTGAACTGCATGACATCTCCTTCAACCTCATCCCCCAGAAGACGAGCTTTGAGGTCTCTAGATTTGTTTATGTAAATTTTGATATTTTACTGTACTATTTTATGTTGTATATAATTTTACGGACGAAATGATCCCAGGGGGGACTCCCAACCCACCGCTTCGGCGGGTAGTTGACGCACCTTTCACAAGCAAGAGCCACTTTGGTCTACTTGCTGTGAGGTGTCTCAGCTACATGGGTTGGGGGTCCCCCCTTTTTTTTAAAAAAAAAAACGAAAAAAAACTTGTTTACTATGCCATACAGACCATAGTACAGTATAATCCTGATTTACAGTAGAGTTTGGGGAAAGGAAACATTTGCAGTGAATCTTGGTTTGCAGTAAATTGGGGGCACGCTGTAAATCAGGGCATCAATTGTTCATATTATGTATGTTAATTGATCGTTTTCATAACTTCGATTTACAATCTGTACCATAATAAAACTAGCACTGCCATGGGGTTCAAAAAGGGTCATTGTAAGCCTCCAGCTTAATGGTCCTAAGTCTCTGCCGCATGCGGTGCCTGTCAGCATCAGCTAACAGAATAGCCCTAACATAACGATCAAGCCACAAATTAGGTTCTATAATGATTTAATATTGTTGAATAAAGAGATTTGAATATAATATTTGTTTTATTCTGAATATTTGTTTTATTCTGAATTGTTAAGCCCACATTACATTCGGGGGAAGAAAATAGCTGCAGTAAATCATTAGGCAGACCGAGACACCTGGAGTCTGCATCCATCTTTCTATACTCATTTATGGTTGTAGGGACTATTCAATTCAATTCATTGGCCCACTGCGCACTAAATTGAGTGAAGAAAGTAGTGACTCAATTACCTGTTGCAGCAAGGGCAAATGGAAGACATGAAATGGTTTAATAGCTATTAGGAAGTTATGCTAGTAGATGGCGTGTCAAATACAGACTGCTGTCACTCCGATTGACTCCAGAATTGTTGAAAATGCTTGTCAGCATCTCCGAACTGTTTGTAAGTTGACTGATTTTATTGAAAATTGTTATTCTCAAAGTTCCACAACTTTTAAAATATCAATGCTAACAAGTATTTTGTATGTAATGAATAACACATTCCCACAATTGTTTGTCAGCACACAACTGATTGCTTTGTTATACTTAATTTAGCAGGATAGAGTTTCCTTGCACATGTTAAAGCAAATGTCGAAAACACTGTACTACATAAAGTTATAGAAGTGGGGATGACATTACATTGTTATTAGGTTTGAGATGCAGTAGTGTAATGCTGAATCACCAGTCGGATGACATGAACTTATTTTTATTTCAGCTCAGTTCCTATTAGAAGAAAAAGAATGTCAAGCCTCGGATTCAAAAGGAGTAGTTGTAGTTGTTCAGGCTCTCTTAGATTTGGTAAGTAAATTAAAAGGTGAATACTGAATATCTGATTCATTCAGTTGGTGTCATTCTTGCTGGATAGATTATGTTCAAGTTTCTCATTTTGAACTTTCAAAGATTTTCTTGAAAAAAAGAATGATTTTTACCATTATTAGCGTGACCAAATTTTTCAGGATGGGGAGAGACAACGTCTTCATGATGCCCTGGAGGCTGAGACAATTAAAGCTAGTGTCCTTCGCCATAAATTACTTAATGTACCGTTAGAGACAGAAAAAGAAATTCAAAGTAATAGCCTTTTTGAATTTGTGAATTCTAAATTAACTTATCAACACAATATCTATGAGTATTGCTAAAAGCACAGTGTAAGGCCTACACGGACCGCCTCTAACTAGCCAATCCCTGTTTACATGCCGTGTAGCAGGGGACTAGATAGATATCTATCTAGACTATGATATTTTGAAATATATGTACTCAATACTCATAATGTGTTTCTGATCATGGTGCTGTCTTTCATTACCAAAGTAATTATAATTATATTGATAACAATTAATATTTACAGGAGCTGTAAATGAAGCCAGACAAGCAAATCTAAACGAAATAAACGAAGTTCAGCAGTCGTTAAAGGAAACCAAGGACACGATTGCAGCTTTGAAAAATCAACTGAACGAAATTCATGATCATGATTCTGTCTTAAAGTGAGTTATGCTTCAATATTTCTATGTATTTTTTGATTAATTGAAGTATATTTAATTAACATAATAAAGATCTAACCATGTCGAGACTTACCAATAATGTTTGTCCCAATGATAATGAAAATTCAATATAATAAACATTATTTTCAGCCCCAAGATGGAGAACATAAGTTTTACACACGAAGACATAGTTTCTGATCTCAACTTTCTTCTGAACGATAAAGCTCAGTGAGTTAAAAAACGATATAAAATTGAGTTCTCTCCGAAACAATTAACATTGTGTCTGTGTTTTTAACTATCAATCGGTGCTTATAGTTAGTAGTTACTGCATCTCTCCTCATATCCGAATAATCGCAGGGTCCAGATAGAGTTGAATGATACGTGGGAAGAAGTGAAATGTACCAAAAAGAATGTAAGTTTGACAAATTGTCTTATCTTAGATGGTCTACTACTTAGAATACATACCATTGTGTTTAAATTGTAAGTTTCTTACTCGCAGAAACTATACCAAAGTGAGATGATTAAATTAGGGATTTCAGTAAAATCATCATTTACAGATTGGAAGAACAGAACATGGAATACTGCAACTTCATGAAGATCTGATCAACGAGAGAGACCAGGCTAAAGTGACAAGAAAAGATCTCCGTGCTGAGATCCTAGACACAAAGCGTAGAAAGGAGGAGCAGTTGAGTGCAAATGATGTGGCTGTCAGGAAAATTGAGCGACTCAAACTCGCTCTGGCCGAGGTTAAAGTTGAGAACCAGGACAAGCGTGCGGTAAGAAGTTATACTGAGTTTCTTATTTCCACTCATTTCTAGTTCCCCATGTGACTATTAATATTTCACCTACTTGTTAATTGTTGAATTTTAGGCCATCCGGAGAATCTACAAAAATAAGGAAAGGCTGGACGGTATTTATAAAGTTTTGGAAAAGAACGAACGAGAGAGTAGAAAGACACATAATGAAGAAATTTTCGAAAGGTTCTAATTTTTCGTGGGTCAGCATGTAGGTCGTTACAGGAATGGTGACAATATCAGTAATAGATTCCCGAATTATTACTGATATGAATTATGATAACTGTCATTACGGTTCCCCAGGAATGGCTGTGTTGATGAAAGTGTGAAAGTTCTTAACACCGTCTTGTGGCATGTTGTACCTGATATAACCTGATGTCGTGATTTATGTGTTATTCTAATCAATTTATAGGTCGCATACAAGGTGAACGCTCGGATCAGATCTCTGAATGGACAACTCACGGTCATATCAAAACAACACACTGATCATAACGAAAAATTGCTACAAATTGTTGTAAAAGGGTAAATTTTAGCCGATCAAGCATTTATGCACGCATATATCTATTGAAGTGATAAAATGGGGCATTATACTTTATTCATAGACGCAGAAAAAAAGAAGCACCAAGAGTAAAGTGAATGGCACTTGTTGTTCTGCTATAATTAGTGAAATTTTGCGCTTATCTTTCCCCTTTGTCGAATGCTGAAGTTTAATTTAAGACAAACATTTTGAAGCTGAAGTCTTTTTAAATCTTGCGTGAGCGCTGAAGTCTTCATTGGAAGTAAGTTTTAGCCCACTTTTTTTCTCGTGCAATCTTACAATACGACTTTGTCAGCCACTTTACTTAGAGTCATCCACTTTAATCAGACTACAACGCCTTGATAGGGCTAATAGACTATTAGCTATCTGCACGGAAAGTCACCCCACGTTAACTAGTAAAGGGTATCGAAGCGGACGACCTGACTACTTAAACACGAAAGTAACCCGTGAAGTAAACTAAGTGCTGTTTATAAGTTAGCTAGTTTATAAGTGGGCTAGCCAGCACCGCACCTGTCCAATTCCCACAGCTCACTGCTTAAAGCACGCTCTAACTTGTTAGCAAGGTAACTGTCACCTTGGGTAATGTCCTCATTACTTGACCTGTTATTTCAGCACCGAAATGGAGTCCATTTCTCTACCGAAAAGTTGGACGAATTGACCATTGCTCTAAATCAAGAGGTTGAAAATAACCAGCTCATGTTTAATGACCTCGCATATGGAGGGTACGAAATTATGAATATTAATTACATCTACTACTATACTTGCTAATCAGCTGTTTTTTTTTCAGAAAAAATAGCTCCATTTCATAGTAGGATCCGCAATACAAAACAAACTTGTTAATTCCTTTTTGCTTATTCAATTTGTTATTTCAAATGCGCTAGCCGATTATTTTATTCGTTATATCTCTGCTGTATTTATCTTATGCTGAGTTTTTAGTTCCTTGTCGCTCCTTTTAATGTTCAGCTCTTATACTAATTGATATATTTCAAGTACCAACGAGTACAACTAAGTAAGTTTAACTAATAAATTTATTGATTGAAAAGATAAGATATCTCTTAATTGTACTAGCATCAATAAATAACCTTATCTTGTATAATCAGCTATCACCTTTATCATGTTGAAGATGTTTTGAAACTTTCTAGATAAAAATTTTAACAAAAAAGTCTTTAGTCGTTAGTCGCCATTTGAAACAATTCAAATGTCAGGACCATTTGCACGTTCAAGAAGATGTTATCTACAGAAACGGTTATTAATCGGTTAATAGGGACATTGCCTCCGAACTAATAAAATGAAGCATGTCTGCATGAACTATCAAAATGTTAATGTTTGCGACATGCATGTACTTGCATGTATCTAATAATCTGCTGACAATATTATGTTGCATGCTGAAGCGTATGATCAATGTGGCTGATACACGGAAATAAAAATTTAATGTAACTTTAATCTTAATGTTTAATGTTTATTCTATATAAGTCATAAAGCATGCATGTGAAATTATATTTTCTGTTATTAAAGATTATAAAATGCATACTATATACTGCAATTGAGATTTTCCAAACATTTGGCAAGGTAGCCGAAACATTAAAAGAAAAACAAATAATGTCTTATCAGTAAGGAGATCGGTAGAGGATTTGCTATAATGGTAAAAGAGTATGAAGATAGGAGGGAGGACCAAGAAAAACAACTTAAAAAGGTAAATCAACATCCTCAGTTTCAACTTATCAAGTTTTAACTCTTTCAAGTAAAGAATCGCTTTGTATTTGTGCAAATGTGCAATCTTGAAATATCATCTTAGATTGCAACGTACAATATAGCTGGTACAGTTTTGCAACTGACGGCGTGCATTGTTTAACTTTTTATCATTTTAGGTGCACAAAGAGCTTGCAGAGGCTTCACAAAACGCTGCAAAGTTGGAGAAGGAGCGAAATCAGCTGCACAACAGTGCGTTTATTGAAATACTTTTACCTTTATTGAAATACCTTAACATTAAAAAAAGGAAATTTCGAATGAAGGGCAATCAGTAAATAATAGATCGAGTTCTAACTGTCCATTTCCTTACATAAGTTTTTACCACAACTTTTTCCCCTTCATTCTTCATTTTTCATCAAGTATTTGTAAGAGAGTTTGTAACAACGGTAACATCTCAGCTCTAAAAGGAGCAAAGACCGCTGCTGGGCGATCTGCGGCATCTCTACGTCTTCTCAACGAATCGTACGTCAATTTTATTAATTTTAATAATTTTATCAATTTTATCACTTTATTAATTTTAATAATTTTACAGATTTACATTTTACAAACTCAGTCATTTTACCTTTCTCTATAATTTCGTGATTCATCTTAGAAAGGATGGCACATATTTAGTATACAGTGCGATATAGGTCTTATAGGGGTGTATTTAAATTCACTTGAATTATGGGCTTAGAATGCTAATCTTCCAACTAACTAACTAAACAGCATATAAATAAAACCAAAACAATAGATCTGTATACTGGTAGGGAGATCTATTGTTTTTAGTTTCTGCTGGAAAGTTTCCAACCGACAAGTATAAGATGGGTACATTAATTAAGCACTTGTAGGGATAAACCTAACGAAAACATAGAACTTAGATGGTTGAGATGTTGGTGAGTTATACCGTCCGCTGAAATGAGAAATTAAGTTTAAATAATTAAGTTAATGATTTATGTCGTTGATTACAAATTTGTGCTATATCAGTTAATAATGTACTATGTATATCAGTCGAGTTATGTACTATATCAGTAATGTACAATATCGATCTCGTGAGATGATTTTATTGTATAGAACAATTTGTCCAAGATTTAAATCAATCCGCTTGATTGAAAAAAGGTAAGTGGTTAAATGTTCCATGGTTATAAGGTACTCTCGAAAATGGTGTTGCTCAAATTTTAAAAGGCTGGTAATAATAGACGCCCAAGAGTATAAATTAGAGTACGCACGCAACTTTCCGGCACGCCATTTTTAATATGTCGGTAAACACTAAACAGGTTGAAGAACTCGAAGCAGGAATTACTGGACCAATCGGAGGAAGCAGCTAGACTAAAGCGAGATAATGCTGAGCTGGAGTTTAGGATACAGCAGGCTAACGAGGGGCACAAACTGAACGTGGAGCTTCTCACTGGTCAGATTGAGGAGGTGAGGTGTCAAGTTCAATGAACAATGTCGAGTTTTCAAAATTTTGAATATATGTAATATTCATTATATATTGGTTATAATTAGTTGTGTTTGAATGGATGCTGATAAAACTTTATTTTTACTTACACCCCGAAACAGTAAGTGCAGTTCGACCATTAGAGGAACAGGGTAAAGTTAAACTCTTGAATATCTCTCACTCTAATATGTACAGGTGAGAGAATCTCTGTCGTATGAGGTAGACCAGAAGAACGTATGTCAGAGAGAGAGGGAGAAATTAAGGAAGAAAGAGATGGCGTGGAAGAAGGAGTACCAGTTTGGGATGAACAACCTCACCATCAGAATACACGCTCTTAAGGAACAGAACACTAACTTTGTTCAGCAGGTGAGGATTATTTTGAGGAGAACAACATGTTACTGGTGATTTCAGTGCTGGCTTGTTAGTCAGGCCTCAGGGAGTTTGGCAATCTGGTTGTGGGTTCAAACTTTACTCAGACTATGTACTCCGTGTTGAAAAGCTATAACTTATGAAACAGTTACATTTATTTCCAAGTATCGCGACGGCAAATTCTTGAGTTCAACTCCTTGTAGATATGAGTGCAAAGTACTTTGACAGGGAAAGTAAATGCTTGAAGCGATAAAAAAATTGAATAATCAATCATTACAATTAAGCAATATACCAACGACAAAATCAATTGATAAATATATCCTGCAATTAAAAAATACAATCTCCCGGATCAAATCTGTTTCCTCATGGAACCGGCTTGTTATGACGTTACCAAGTGGACTTCTAGCACATCCTACAGGTGGCCGCACATCTGGCCCTAATAGAGGACCCAAATCCACCAAGTTTACCCTTTAAAGAACACAGGTTGTTCTCAGCGGCTCTCTGACAAGTTCGGAAACTGGCGTTATCCACACACCTCTTAGACACACCTCGCTTTACTATTTTGTCTTCCGAGTCACCTGAAGAGGGTTCGTGATGACGTCATGGGTTTGTTTTGTGAGGCTAAATTTGTGAAACATTATAAATGAACTTTACAAAAATAAACACGATTCTTTTGTATTGCTCAAAGATCCAATATATCATGATCCAGACAAAGGATAGGGAGGTGGTAAATGTATCTTGACATTTAACCAAAGAAAGTGTTCAAATACCTTCTGATAAACCTAGAGAAGAAGGGAGCAGGACAGTAAGGGCGCACAGCACCACTACGAACCTCATCAACGTCATCATCTTGGTTTGGGATAATGAATTAAGAGAAAATAATGGAGTATCTGTTGTTTTTAAGTTCGTGCATAATCATCTGTTGACAGATTTAAGGAATTCAGGAAGTTAATTCCTAGCCAATTCAAATTGGATCTTGCCGTATGCCACATAAATTTAAAAAATCTAGGCAACTTGGTCATAATTTTGCATTTTTAGGTATTTAATAATAATAAATTGAAGTTTAAGAACAACACTATTAAGATAAACTTATACTCAGCAGTGTTTAATCTAGTCATCCCAGAAACTATCGTGATAAAAGTTAGGACTGCTATCATATAATACTTGAAAATATATCGTTCATACTAAAATCAGAGAGTGAAGCTTAAAATTAAAGAACTAACACTAAATATGGGCCAAAATCAGTCATTGATAAAGTTTTTCAAGTTCATGCTGAGACGATTTGAATAAGAATGTTTTTAGAAATGCTTTAAAAGATTGCAGGAATTCAACTGATGTGATGGTAGTAGGCAGACTATGTAGTTATTAAGACTAGCCATTTAATCACTATTAAGAACCGTACACGCTACCTAAAATTCCTGGAAATCGCCATCGATGAATGAGGAATCCAGGAATCTATGGCGATTTAACGCTCGATCATGCCACGAGAAGTGAGCCATGAAAGCACACGTATATATTTTCAATATTCTATATGACATAACATGGTAGAAGAGTGGCTGCAGTTCGAATACCCGCTAGATTTTCTTTTTAAAATGTATGTCGAATGAAAAGATTCCCAGCGACCGGGAACATGCTGCTCCAATGGAGCTATCCTTTGATAAAAAAACAGATTTACAAGTGTCCAGCCTGTTGTTGCCTAGAGGAACTCCGACAGGAGGACCAGAACGGATTCTGTTCAGTTTTAGCCTCCCGAGAATCTTAAATAGCTCCATTTGAGCTCCTAACTAGCGCTGCGTTGATCTGCTAACCATACTATTGCTCCCTGATTACTGTAGACGATTTTATACCTACACAATTACAAGTACCCATCATACCATATCAGCTGGAAAATTAGAGTTCAGTTGTCCCACCTTTTTGTGGAAGTGTTTAAGATTTTGATTATAATTATAATTATAACTAAGAAATTACGACCAATTTAAGTCTAATTGCTAATCTCCTTTGACATTCTGATTTTTGTCTGGAAATTTGCATAAAACTACAAATCAATACTATAGCAATCAAATGTTTCAATTAAGCAACAAGTCAGTCGACGATTGTGCTTAATCAATGCAGACAACATTCATTAATTAAGGGGGAAAGAACGCCCGTCAAATTGAGGATACCGCCATAATATTGAAACCATTATTCATTAGGTCATAACTCCTTCATACACTCTCAGATCACCTCGCTAAAGAAAGACATTGAATCGGGTAACGAACTAGTCATTGAGCTCCGCAAGCAATCGTCACTGGACAAGGATGAAAGTCTCTACGAATGTGACGAACTTAACAACGAAATCATGGACCTAGATGTAAGTTTTATTCATTAATTAGCCCGGGCATTCTTTTTGTATGATTTTGTATGATTTTGATCGCCGTTCATTGAAAAAGCGTGGCCAGGTTAGAGTGGAACTTAATCTCCTCAGCCCATGCAATCTTCTTTTACTGCTATTCAAAAATAGTGTTTTATAGCACGATATATAGCACCCAGATGTAAATGATGAAATCTATGATATGATAAATTTAAATTCCAACAAATGGGTTGGATAAAGTATCCATTCTGGTCTGATAAATTAGTATATAATGATTGTTCAAAGAGGTTGGAAGCGAATGGCTGCATCCCAGTTAAACAGTTTGATAGTTATCAACCTTACCTTCACCTCCAGCTAATTTGTCGATTTGTCGTGGTTTTAAAGTGTTTCGAACGACTTAATCATATTGATACTCCGTTCCGTAACTGGTCTTTGCCGATGTTCTGTCATCGGCTGGTATGATTCATGAGACAAACGGAATAAAATTTCCCAGCCGTTAAATCGACGGGGATCCGACCTTAACTAGAATTTCGCTGCGGTTACATAGTTACAATTACATCACCAAGCACGCAGTTATCCTTCAATGTAGTTTTATCATTTTAGGGGTGCAGAACCTGACAAATATTTGACACCCGCATTTTGGGTTTAAATTTAAATATATTTTAACCTGTGTAACAGTCGTCAACCACTAAACATGCTGGTTCAGGTTGAATTGCTATGCGTGCAATTAGTTATTACATAACTGTGTCGCGTGCAGCAAAATATATACGCCTCCACAGGGCACAGAAAGGTCGTTGTTTATATTGCGAAGGAGTCGACTTCTGTCCTCATTGTAACAACGTTTGGCCACCCCATATAATACCCAAACCCGGGTATACTTATTCCCTACGATTTTTTGCCTGGGTTAAACAAAAAGTTGAATATCTGGTTTAAAATGGAGGGAACGCAGAATCCTCGATTTAAGCGAGACTTTAGTAACGGAAAGTTAACCGGGTGCCCGGATGGCCGGCCGCAGATGTTGTAATACTAATAAAAACTAGACATACTTTGATACGTGTAGAATTGGTTAAAGTAGGCAAAAATCGTCGGTAAATTTACCGTTAAACTTAAATTCTTGGGAAATCGAGATTTCAATTTTATTTCTTGCGTGGTGAATATTCGCACGGTAAATAGTGGCAGAACTTAATATTTTCATACTCCGCAGAACTTGATAATAAATACACAAGTAAAACTGGTGAAGCTGCAAGACACTTTGGACGAGATGAAACCTGTTTTCGTTGAACTGGAGAAAGAATACGCTGATAAACAGCTGTTTTACGAGCAGGAGAAAAAAATAACCGTCGGTAAGTTAACTTATAAATTTAACCTTAACATAAATAATTTAACTTAAATAACTTAACTTAAATAACTTAACTTAAATAACTTAACTTAAATAATTTAACTTTAATAACTTAACTTAAATAATTTAACTTAAATAACTTAACTTTAATAACTTAACTTTAATAACTTGACTAATAAAACTTGGGCTTGATAAAAACTTGATATTATCTACAAAGCGATAACGAATCTATCCAACTATAATATGATACATGATATTACGATCAAAGGACACGATGATTACAATATTACACATTAAACTTACAGTTATAAGATTCGTTGTATTTATACAACAGATCGTTCAACCTTATTTAAACTGTTATAACTTTGCAGCTATTCGTATTTGATCCTAAGATATGTTAAGCACTTTGTCGAAAAAGAAACACACAGATCAGTATCATCTAACCTAATGTTGATATTCGTTAAGCTTTGTCAGGGCCATCACATTGTGTGACAGAGAGGAGATATCCCTGTCATTCCTCCAGCAAAGCAGCAAGTTTGAATTATCATACAGAGACTGGTTTGCTGCTGAGCTCGCCGTTTTCTGACAAAAGTGCTTAAAGACCACTTAAAAATCCGTTCGAAAAAGGGGGTTTCTGGGGGCCGGCGATTGGTTCTAATAGTCTCTGATGGTTTTCAGGGATAGTTCTTAACCCAAAAAAGAAATTTGGGTGAAAGAATTCAGAATTTCAAAAATGGTCCTAAAGCACTTTGTCAGAAAACGGCGGGAGCTGCGCTGTGTCTGCATGCAGATGGAATGAATGCAAGGTTTCAAAAACGTAGCCTGGAGATAAACCGTACTTGTGTGGTACATGGTGATGGGGAATCTTCCACACATGAGGCTGAATAAACTGTTCCCTGCGACGCTGTAGAGATAGTTGTGAAGAAGGACCCAATAATGAAGACCACGCATTCCAGCGATCCTTGCAGTGATGTCACCTATCTTGGAGGAGCGGCCAATAATATTCCAATAACTTGTACTAATATTGGATAAAATATGTATTGATGACTACAGCAAACTGCATTTTATTAAACTTACCCCGGTATTATAACATATTAGGAACAAATTTCAAAGATCGACACAAGTCGCCGCCGATTCTGTCACAAAATAAACCTAATATCAGAATAAACGTTTTAAATTTTATCAAATGTGTCAACGTGGATTGTAATCAAAATTGAAGCAGTCACTATAATTCCAGTAATTACAGTCCTAAAACAGTGCCGACAGTCGCTTTAATCAATCCTGATTTCCTCACGTGTCAGTCTAGTGCTATGTCGAGGAGGTCTCTGGTAAAAGTACCCACGTGCATAAACTACACGTGAATAAACTACACGTGCATAAACTACACATGCATAAACTACCTGCTCTAATGAGTTTCACACCAGTTGCCCAAATTGTAGGTTTTTAGGTCGGAGAGGAATATCAGGATTGAAAGCCCTGCTTTTGTAAAGCAATTCTATAATAAATCGTGTCCAGTGAGGATATAAAAATACAGGCGAATTTGCGTACTACAAAATATTTATAGCAAGACCACGAACAGACTGAAAATCCCAGACTGAAAAGTGAAATCGTATACTTATATTTAGGAACTATAAACAAGCATTCGATTATCCTAGTCTGCTTAACCCAGGTGCAGGCAATATCAACTCGAGGTCGAGTCATGTGCTATGTCAAGGTGATAACGCTATCCAAGACCAATGGAACTTAACTTGCGATTTTCTCGAGAACTGTCTTATTTTTTAGAACAGTCTGATGTCGTACAACTCTACCCAAATTGGTTGGGAACATGACGTTTATTTACCTGAAAATTCGAGCCTGACGGCCCTCATTTCCGGGTGAATAACCATAAAAACGTGATAATAAAATATTGTCACAGTTGCAGTAGAGTGACGAACAGACAGTATCTAATCAGATATTGTCACTCTAGCGTTATAATACGGACCCTATTTTCTATTCAAAGTATAATGTAGTAATCCAACAGTCAAGCTAATCACAATAATTGATCTGAACACAAGTTCGGTTATAGAATATAAGAATAAAGGAATTAGTCGTTGTGTTGTTGTTGAGCACATATAAGTATGACTTATTTTCATAAACGTCATAAACTGTCCTTTATCTTTGATCGCTTTATAAACGTTCTTATAAACGTTCTTACAATCGTTCTTGTATAAACGTTCTTATAAACATTCTTGTAACCTCTTAACAAATTTTGCAGACAGAAAAGGAGACAAACAGACCTTGGAGGATAAAATCACAAAATTAAAAAGGGACATTAAAAGACTACAGATGCCCCGGGTACGCTTACATTTTACCACAAATAATAATCTTAACATTAAATGAATGATGAAAATCTTAGATTTACATAGTGCTCGACAGAAAGCTTTTCTGCAGATACTACAAGACATTCTGTTGTTCAATAATAGCGTCTTTGACTCAATAGCAAAGTGCTGTTATTAGGCACTGGAAACTTAACAATTAATTTCTATAATCGTTTAATTATTTTATAATTTGCAGGAGAAGTTAAACGCACAGATACGGGACAGCAGGTTCAGTTCACTCAACCAAATACGGGAACAAGCACGTGAGAATCTAGAAACAGAACAAAACATCAAGTTGATGGAGGAGAAGAGATTACTAATGGGAAAGTCTAACGATAAGATCAATGAGAAGGCTCATCATCTGAGAACTGATGTGGTCGACATCGAGGGTTAGTTCTTCACTCTGTTAAATTGTCGCTTTTTAAGGCATAACAATCGAGTGATAGTGTTTTAAAGCTGTTTATTGTTTAACAACTTTAGCAAGTGAAATATTGGTCCAGTGCAAAACCTTTTAGCTGTAGATAGTTTTAGTAACATGAATGATTATACCCTCAGAAAAGATAGCGAATGCGGAAAAGAAAGTGACTCAACTGGCTAAGAAATTGGTCGAAGAGAAAACAGCACTGATATCTAACTACAAAAAAGATCTCGAAATGGACGGGTAAGATAAATTAATTGTGTTTTTTGATCATGCACATGTAAATTATGAAACGTAACCATTTGGAATAGTGGTTAATCGCATAACACATTGAATTGGCAAAAATTATTTATTGAAACTACTACTAGAGCAAGAGAAGGTACGATCAAACTTTAACGTAAGCCCTTATATCTGATCTGAGTAGTTCCCTATTTTTTTGTAATAAAGCTGATGATCTGTTTACAGGATGTACGCTAGAGTTGATTTGGGGATCCTTGGTGACATAACAGAAATGCATCAAACAACAGAGCAGAGACAAGAACGAGTAGCAGATATCCGAGCTCAGCTTGAAGAACAGATAAGCAACATGGACAACTTTATTTTCAGAGTCGCATCCCGTAAGTTTCAAAAATTGTCATTGTAAGGATAAAGATTGGAGTTGGTTTGAAATACATTTAGGGAGCATTTTTACCAAATTTTTGCTTTTAGGCCCCAAAAAGCCAAAGCCTAGTTTCTCTTTACTTAGAAAGTTTGTTGTCTTGCCGCTGGTTAAGACACTGAACCTAGGTGGTCCACAAAAGGATATAATGAAGATGTCTGCCTCTGGGGTGTGGCAAACCTCCAGGAAGAGTATGCCTGAAAATATATGAGAAAATGATGGAAGTAAAGTAACACGTGGAATGAGGACCGAGGGGGAATTAATAAATGCTCGAATGTCGAGAGGATTATTTATAACCAGAAATAATGAGCTAAAATAGCACGAGAATAGGAATTAGGTAACGCCGATCCGGTTTGGTCCAGCTTAGGCCTTAGTGCGAGTTGCGAATTTGACAATTTAGTAGTAATATGTTCATATTGCATTGGTTGTCCAAGACGTCATTGACAGAGAGGTAATAATCCTGAAAGTATTGCCCTCGCAGTTGTGCAATAGCTGGACACTGTCCAAAAAAGTGCGAGACAGTCTCTTTTTCATCGCCGCACATAGGACATGCTCTAGCTGGTGCTTGATTCGCTAATAATATGGAGATGTTCACTATTCAGCCCACAGTGTTTGTGCACTACAGTTCTGAATTTCTATAACATGTTGTTCTTAAGTGCAGTTTTGAGGTTTTTGATGATGGTGGCATATTTGCTACCCAGTGTCACCTTGGTGTGTCTGGGACCATTTGTGAACCAGTCTTCCTGATTCAGTCTGGTGACTATGGTTAATATGAAGTTGGCTAATTGGGTAGAAATTAGAATATTCGCACTGAATTCAATTTTGCACACGGCGAACTCAGTACCCTGCGCGCGGGAAGCGCGTCTGTTTGTGCGCGGCGCGGTCACTATGGTAATGGTATGATTTAGAAATATAAAGTTGACTGTTAGCATTTATTATGTAGACCGTCTAATAATCTCATAACTTTTAGAGGACAGCGTGTTTGCCTTCATCTGGTTATCTTCTTAGTTGATTACACATTACAACTTTTCAGCGGCACCCACACCGAAGCCTCCTGCCACGCAATCAAAGCAGCTACCACACTATTCCGTTGTGCCGGACATAAAACCCCCATGTGAGTTTATTAAAGCTGAATTTAAAACATTGGCGATTGGCATTTGTTCGGAATTTGAACATTGAATTTTTTTGACCATAAAAAAGATTATTGTCTCTCGTAAAAACGTAATTTTCTTCAAAATAACAACTAAGTTTCAGTACCACTGACTGTGGGTCAATTTTAAGGGGAATCAAGACGACTATTATAATTTTGAGGGTAATCATCAAACAATGCTCGAAATTGCATGACAGCTAATTGCTTGAATGCTCAGCAGTACAAGCATTGTTTAACTGGAGTTGGATTGTTATATCATTTATTCTATTGTCCTGTAAAAAAGGTTAGGTTTGTCAATCGAGCTAACGATATGCTTCGGAAATGCATTCAACATTCATGGTCGTTTTCTTCGTGCGTTATGTCTTGGTAGTTAAATTTTACTGCAGCAGATCTAACTTGCCAGTACCTGCAGTTACGGGAGCGGGTGGTAGAAAAAACACTGCTCAGCAAAAATACAGTTCCCAAACAGCTAAGACCTTCCTAACAATCGAATCATCTAGTTCGTAGTTCGAGTAAGTTTGCCGAGCTGAGTGACCTACGGCCTACCTATTGGTTCGCTGATCTGTAATGGTGTGATCTTTTGATTTAAGAGTTGCCCTCCCCCCCCCGGATTCTAAGTCGACTAAAGCCATGTTACATCGTGCAGCAGGAAGTTTTGACCTCATGGTACCTGATTCCCAAGTTCTGACCGGGGATGTATACTCTGTAGTCTGTATTCGCTTCTCACGCATTTCACTCGACCACAAGTGGTCCCACGCGCACTCCACGGATGAAAGGAATGTAGTCAACAGAAAGTTTACAGCTGCTAAACTGATATACAGCCACCGGCCACGTTCAGTATTCTATCTTGATGAACACGCTGGTTTGGGTTAATTGTAGAGCTCGGCAGCATCTTAAAAGTAGTGAAGCATCAATTAATTATATCTTTTAATAATGTTAATGACTGCCCAATTCAGCACCAGAAGCATCTTTGAAGGTATCTAGCTAATATAATTATATCCACGAAAGATTTATAATTTTTGGAAATTAATTGCATCGCATGCTGATTTTACAGTATCTTTAAACGAAATATAATTTAAAATACAAAAAATGACTCTTCATTTCACAGGGCGTCCAGTGAACAGAAGAGGCATGCCATGGACAAGTTAGCCATCACCAATCACCAACCAGACCTGATGAATATTCTTAAATCTTCTCTCTTAAAGTGATAGGCTTTACTTTAATTTAGGTCAAAAAGCTAAATGACTGGACATATCCGAATGTGCTTTGGGCTGTTTAGTGTTTGGCATGTTTATTATGTCACTGTAATAAACGGTCGAAGAAGGGACTTTAATGCGAGATATACATTTCTGGAACTTGGAATTTATGTTCAGAGACTTTTATTTGTAGATTAATTTGTGTGATTAAACTTTGTATATAACATTGTGATGAGATTTTATTTCTGAAATGTGATTACGGACTTGGTTACATGCTTTGTTTTATTTATCATACTAGAACAATATGGGGGGGGGGTCCAACCCGATGTCCGATATGAGGGTTGATGAGGCCAAAATCGGAATCGGAAAAATCGGAAAAATCGGAAAAATCGGAAAATTGAGAAATTAACAGAATCGATCTCTAAAACCTCTCAGAAGTGATATAATTCAACCAGAACCCCTCCATATGCTATATTGTTATGAGAAAACGAACCAATTGGACATTCCAATAGTATGTTTTATGTGTTTTTCCACTGCAGGGGCGCTAGTATACTCACTACTAGTTGGAGTTGTCATGTACTCCCAGACCCGAGTGCTTTGGCCTTTTGACGTGAGATCGATTGTTTCTGCTCATTAATTTTATCCCTGTTACTTGTTATTATGTATTAGTACAACACTAGGTACCGGGTTATATTTTGTGGTCCGGTCTTTAAACATACCATAATATCACTAGTACACTGCACCTTAAATGTATAGTCAAGTACATTTGTATCGTAACACATGCTTGGCTGGGGGATCATGTTTTGTGTCCGTTCGGTACCCTATATTTTCAAAACGGACAAAAAGTAGGGCGAACAAAAACGGACAAAAACAGACAAAAACTGACAAAACATTTACATGTCCTCCTCCTCCTCCCTGGTCTTCCTCCTCCTTCTCATCAGTCCTCCTCCTCCTCCTAAGTCTTCCTTCTCCTCCTGAGTCCTTCTCCTCCTCAGTTCTCTTCAGTCCTCTTCCTGACTCCTCGTCCTCGTCCTCGTCCTTCTCCTCAGTCCTCCTCACCCTGCTCCTCAGTCCCCTCCTCCTCCTCAGTCCTACTCCCAGTCCTCCTCTTTCTCCTTCTCCTCCTCCTCCTCCTCATTTCTCCTACTCATCCTCCTCCTTCTCCTCCCCATCAGTCCTCCTGAGTCCTCCTCATAGTCGTCCTCCTCCTCCTGAGTCCTCCTCCTCATCCTCCTCCACCTCCTGAGTCCTCCTTCTGAGTCCTCCTCCTCATCCTCCTCTTCAGTCATCCTCCTCTTCCTCCTCAGTCCTCCCCAGTCCTCCTCCTCCTCATCCTCCTCCTTCTCCTCCTCATCAGTCCTCATCCTCTGTCCTCCTCATAATCGTCCTCGTCCTCATCCTCATCCTTAGTCCTCCTTATTCTCCTCCTCAGTTCTCCCCCAGTCATCCTCCTCATTCTCCTCCTTCTCCTCCTAGCCTCATCCTCCTCCTCCTTCTCCGCTTTCTTCTTCTCCTAATCAGTCCTCCTCCTCCTCGTCCTTAGTCCTCGTCCTCGTCCTCCTCAGTCTTCCTCCTCAGTCCTCCTCCTCATCATCCTCCTCCTCCTCCTCAACAGTCCTCCTCCTCCTCCTCCTCCTCAGTCTCCTCCTCCTCATCGTCCTCCTCAGTCCTCCTCCTCCTTCTCCTCATCAGTCCTCATCCTCAGTCCTACACTAGTCGTCCTCGTCCTTATTCCTCGTCCTTAGTCCTCGTCCTCGTCCTCGTCCTCGTCCTCCTCCTGAGTCCTCCTCCTCCTCCTCCTGAGTCCTCCTCCTCCTCTTCAGTCCTCCTCCTGAGTCCTCCTGAGTCCTCCTCCACCTTCTGAGTCCTCCTCCTGAGTCATCCTCCTCCTCCTCAATCTTCTCCTTATCCTCCTCCTCCTCCTCATCATTATCCTCCTCCTTCTCCTCCTCCTTTTCCTCTTCCTTCTCCTCCTAATCAGTCCTCTTCTTTAGCCCTCGTTATCATCCTCCTAGTCCTCGTCCTTAGTCCTCGTCCTCATCCTCCTCAGTCTTCCTCCTCAGTCCTGCTCCTCCTTCTCCTCCTCCTCAGTCCTCTTCCTCCTCAGCCTCCTCCTGATCCTCCTCTTTAGTCCTCTTCCTCCTCCTCAGTCCTACTCCTCAGTCCTCCTCCTCATCCTCCTCCTCCTCCTCCTCCTCATCCTCATCCTCCTCATCCTCCTCAGTCCTCCTCGTCAGTCCTTCTCCTCCTCGTCAGTCCTCCTCCTCGTCTTCAGTCCTCCTTCTCCTTCTCCTCATTCTCCTCCTACTCATAAGTCCTCCTCCTCAGTCCTCCTCCTCCTTCTCCTCCTCCTATTTCTCCTCCTTTTCCTCCTTCTCCTCCTACTCCTAAGTCCTCCTCCTCAGTCCTTCCCCAGTCCTCCTCCTCATCAGTCCTCCCCTGGTCCTCCTTCTCCTCATCATCCTCAGTCCTCCTCCTCATCGTCCTACTCAGTCCTCCCCCAGTCATCCTCCTCCTCAGTCCTCCCCAAGTCCTCCTCTTCCTCAGTCCTCCCCTCCTCCTCCTCAGTCCTCCTTCTCCTTCTTCTCCTCCTACTCCTAAGTCCTCCTCCTCCTCCTCAGTCCTCCTCCTCCTTCTCCTCCTTCTCCTCCTTCTCATCCTCAGTCCTCCTCCTTATCATCCTCCTCAGTCCTCCCTCAGTCCTCCTCCTCCTCAGTCCTCCCTAAGTCCTCCTCTTCCTCAGTCCTCCCCCAGTCCTCCTTCTCCTCTTCATCATCAGTCCTCATCCTCAGTCCTCGTCCTCGTCCTTCTCCTTCTTATCAGTCGTCCTCCTCAGTCTTCCTCCTCGTCCTCGCTCTCGTCCTCCTCCTCAGTCCTCCTCGTCCTTAGTCCTCCTCCTCCTCACCAATGAGCTGCTCCTCTTCCTCAGTCCTCCCTCTCCTCTTCAGTCCTCCTCCTCCTCAGTCCTCCTCCTCCTCAGTCCTCCTCGGTCCTTCTCCTCCTCCTCAGTCCTCCCCAGTCCTCCTCTTTCTCCTCAGTCTTCCTCCTTCTCCTCCTCCTCCTCAGTTCTCCTCCTCACCCTCCTCCTCCTTCTCCTCTTCCTTCTCCTCCTAATCAGTCCTCCTCCTCAGTCGTCCTCCTCCTCGTCCTTAGTCATCGTCCTCATCCTCATCGTCCTTAATCCTCGTCCTCATCCTCCCAGTCCTTGTCCTTAGTCCTCGTCCTCATCCTCCTAGTCCTCGACTTCATCCTCCTCCTCAGTCATCCTCCTCTTCCTCCTCAGTCCTCCCCAGTCCTCCTCCTCCTCATCCTCCTCCTTCTCCTCCTCATCAGTCCTCATCCTCTGTCCTCCTCATAATCGTCCTCGTCCTCATCCTCATCCTTAGTCCTCCTTATTCTCCTCCTCAGTTCTCCCCCAGTCATCCTCCTCATTCTCCTCCTTCTCCTCCTAGCCTCATCCTCCTCCTCCTTCTCCGCTTTCTTCTTCTCCTAATCAGTCCTCCTCCTCCTCGTCCTTAGTCCTCGTCCTCGTCCTCCTCAGTCTTCCTCCTCAGTCCTCCTCCTCATCATCCTCCTCCTCCTCCTCAACAGTCCTCCTCCTCCTCCTCAGTCTCCTCCTCCTCATCGTCCTCCTCAGTCCTCCTCCTCCTTCTCCTCATCAGTCCTCATCCTCAGTCCTACACTAGTCGTCCTCGTCCTTAGTCCTCGTCCTTAGTCCTCGTCCTCGTCCTCGTCCTCGTCCTCTTCCTCCTCCTGAGTCCTCCTCCTCCTCCTGAGTCCTCCTCCTCCTCTTCAGTCCTCCTCCTGAGTCCTCCTGAGTCCTCCTCCACCTTCTGAGTCCTCCTCCTGAGTCATCCTCCTCCTCCTCAATCTTCTCCTTATCCTCCTCCTCCTCCTCATCATTATCCTCCTCCTTCTCCTCCTCCTTTTCCTCTTCCTTCTCCTCCTAATCAGTCCTCTTCTTTAGCCCTCGTTATCATCCTCCTAGTCCTCGTCCTTAGTCCTCGTCCTCATCCTCCTCAGTCTTCCTCCTCAGTCCTGCTCCTCCTTCTCCTCCTCCTCAGTCCTCTTCCTCCTCAGCCTCCTCCTGATCCTCCTCTTTAGTCCTCTTCCTCCTCCTCAGTCCTACTCCTCAGTCCTCCTCCTCATCCTCCTCCTCCTCCTCCTCCTCATCCTCATCCTCCTCATCCTCCTCAGTCCTCCTCGTCAGTCCTTCTCCTCCTCGTCAGTCCTCCTCCTCGTCTTCAGTCCTCCTTCTCCTTCTCCTCATTCTCCTCCTACTCATAAGTCCTCCTCCTCAGTCCTCCTCCTCCTTCTCCTCCTCCTATTTCTCCTCCTTTTCCTCCTTCTCCTCCTACTCCTAAGTCCTCCTCCTCAGTCCTTCCCCAGTCCTCCTCCTCATCAGTCCTCCCCTGGTCCTCCTTCTCCTCATCATCCTCAGTCCTCCTCCTCATCGTCCTACTCAGTCCTCCCCCAGTCATCCTCCTCCTCAGTCCTCCCCAAGTCCTCCTCTTCCTCAGTCCTCCCCTCCTCCTCCTCAGTCCTCCTTCTCCTTCTTCTCCTCCTACTCCTAAGTCCTCCTCCTCCTCCTCAGTCCTCCTCCTCCTTCTCCTCCTTCTCCTCCTTCTCATCCTCAGTCCTCCTCCTTATCATCCTCCTCAGTCCTCCCTCAGTCCTCCTCCTCCTCAGTCCTCCCTAAGTCCTCCTCTTCCTCAGTCCTCCCCCAGTCCTCCTTCTCCTCTTCATCATCAGTCCTCATCCTCAGTCCTCGTCCTCGTCCTTCTCCTTCTTATCAGTCGTCCTCCTCAGTCTTCCTCCTCGTCCTCGCTCTCGTCCTCCTCCTCAGTCCTCCTCGTCCTTAGTCCTCCTCCTCCTCACCAATGAGCTGCTCCTCTTCCTCAGTCCTCCCTCTCCTCTTCAGTCCTCCTCCTCCTCAGTCCTCCTCCTCCTCAGTCCTCCTCGGTCCTTCTCCTCCTCCTCAGTCCTCCCCAGTCCTCCTCTTTCTCCTCAGTCTTCCTCCTTCTCCTCCTCCTCCTCAGTTCTCCTCCTCACCCTCCTCCTCCTTCTCCTCTTCCTTCTCCTCCTAATCAGTCCTCCTCCTCAGTCGTCCTCCTCCTCGTCCTTAGTCATCGTCCTCATCCTCATCGTCCTTAATCCTCGTCCTCATCCTCCCAGTCCTTGTCCTTAGTCCTCGTCCTCATCCTCCTAGTCCTCGACTTCATCCTCCTCCTCAGTCATCCTCCTCTTCCTCCTCAGTCCTCCCCAGTCCTC